AGGCAGGGACAGTTACATTACGGGAATGGTTTTAGTGAGAAAAGTGTCTTTGAAACATAGGACATATCAATTCTGGTTCCGATGTTGGGTCAGTATTGTACGGAACTTTTGGAATTCGAGTTCACTGTTCTTAGGAACATATACAAAAAAAAAAAATAATCTCTGCTTTTGATTTGTGTAGTTTATGTATTGTCATCTGGATCTTGATTTGTGATTCCACTTGATCATAGAATGTAGCTTTTAAATATTCCTTTGCTACAAAATGTTCAATATTTGATTTTGTAAAGTCATGACACAGTTAAAACATTTCCTGGATTGATAATGACATTGAATTTTGTTGTGTGGTTTCTGTCTCAACAACATTACATCACCTATTCATATCATACACGTTTTCTCATATTCACCTTACCTCCTATACATTTCTAGGAATATGATTGGTTAAAAGCAACCGAAAGGGGTTACTATGCGTGGTTTATTTCAATACACGGTTAGTAGTGGTGTTACGTGCCTTTGTAAAAACAACACAGTGTGTAGGACAAATCTGAAGGTTTCAATAGACAAAGAAATTGATGATGAACGATTGAAATAAATTCATAAAACACATTAAAAGCTTGCGAGTTGTTATTGTTGTCATTTGTTTTTGTATAGACCAATGTAAGTAGGTTCTTAATTTTGAAGACTTGATCACTTTGATAGGCCACCAGTCTAAATACCACATTCGAGCTTCGCTCTAACCCCATATGGAATTTACTGATCTCATATATGTCGTATTAGGTCACTAGCAAACTATGTAACTAATAATACACAGAGTTCACCAGCACACAAAATACACCAAAGTTTCCAACACTCATGATCAGTGACACTCATACACAAAAGCTCCTCTGTATTTATATTTCAGGATACACATAATCTTCCTTGCACTAATGTTGCCTCGTACATTGTTCATACAAACACTCAAGTTCACTCATACATGCATGTCCACATATCCTTAACTGCACTCATAAACTCATACACAAAAGCTCATCTGCATTCACGAAAGATACAAAAACGATCACCTGCACTCGTGTTCGTTTAAACTCTAAAGCTTAAAAGAAATCGGGTTTACTTATACAAAAAAGTATAAACGAATTTACGTTCACTAATAATCAAAAGCACTAAATTTTTTTTTTTTTTGAAAAACATTAAATACATGATACAAACGAAGCTGTGTTACTCTGTTACAGACATTCAATAATCCCAATTTATCAAATTCATTTACAATGATACGTTTTCTTTGAGAAAGATATAGTATAAACCTAATAACTTTAATTATGAATACATGTAATCAGTAGCTTGTCTTTGAACTTCTTGGATAAATCTTCATACCAACAAGCCAATCACATGCATAATCAATATAACATTGAATTATTGCAAATGAAAATATCACTTTATTAATTTATACTTTCGAAGCGCTTTTTTTAATTAACCTTCAGCGGAAACACTCAATCTCAAACATTTGGAGCTAAAGATGTATAAGAGCTAAACACGTGGAGAGCTATATGACCAAACGTTTAAAATTCCCATGGCCATCAGCCTGACGATGAAGGCGGTATGACCTGACTGCTTTTTCGACATTTTATTCTTTAAGTTCGTAAATTTAAAGCCCTTTACAGCAAAATGCATTGAGTGTGTAGGTAAATGTAATATCTTTGGTTAGCTTGCTTGCTAGCTGGACCGTGGAGTCATTATTAGGTTAGGTATACTACCCTCCTTTAAAAGTAGACTAGTCCGACAGATAACCAATCTATCTGTCTGCCGAAAGGATGGTAGTATAGTTAACCTAATAATGACTTTACGGTTCAACTAACAATCAAGCTAGCCAAGATATTACCTTTACCTACACACTCAAAACTCATGTCTATAATTACGTTATAGATTTCAATTAACGTAATATGTTTGTCACTGGTATCACTTGTTTCAACAAACAATCGGTATTCCCATGGGAACAAACTGTGCCCCTCTTCTTGCCGACTTCCTTTATTCATATGAGGCTGACTTCATACAGAAACTTCTTAGGAAGAAAGAAAAGAAGTTAGCATTATCCTTTTACTTTACTTTCCGCTATATAGATGATGTTCTCTCACTAAATAATTCAAAATTTGGTGACTATGTTGAACGCATCTATCCCATCGAACTTGAGATAAAGGATACGACAGATACAATTAAGTCTGCCTCATATCTTGACTTACATCTAGAAATTGACAATAATGGTCGATTGAAAACAAAACTTTATGACAAAAGAGATGATTTCGGCTTCCAAATTGTGAAATTTTCATTTCTATGTAGCAACATTCCAGCAGCGCCTGCATACGGAGTATTATAATATATCTCCCAGTTGATACGATATTCCAGGGCTTTTATTTTCTATCATGATTTCCTTGATAGAGGGTTGCTGCTCACAAGGAAGCTATTAAACCAAGAGTTCCAAGTGGTGAAGTTAAAATCACCTCTTCGTAAGTTTTACGGACGCAAGCAAGAGTTGGTTGATCGTTATGGAATATCCGTTTCACAGATGATAGCGGATATGTTCATAATGTCCTAACAACAATCCCGTCCCCTTTTCCTGAATGTGACCTACCGAATTAGACTTATTACCGGGTTTGTACTAACATGAGCAACACGACTGGTGCCACATGTGGAGCAGGATCTGCTTACCCTTCCGGAGTACCTGAGATCATCCCCAGTTTTTGGTGGGGTTAGTTTTGCTCAGTCTTTAGTTTTCTATGTTGTATTTTGTGTACTATTGTTTGTCTGTTGGTCATTTTCTTTTTTTAGCCATTGTGCTGTCAGTTTATTTTCGACTTATGAGTTTGAATATCTCTCTGGTATCTTTCGCCTCTCTTTTGGTAAATAATTATTAAGTCAAGGATTTCGTTATCATAAATTACTTGGAACCTTTACTATATTCTATTACAGATACAACGATTCAGTTTGAAATTTTGTTTGTACCTGTAGAAAACTTATTACTAACGGGATATCACATTCTTATTATACGGTGATGTTGTTGAGCTTGTAAATGTAGATACGATCCATGTAAGCTTATCGATCCATTGCATTAAACTATTTTCATAGGTCATCAATTTAACAATGCAATACGATCTTTTAATATTGTTTTCGGCGGTACTTACAATGATTTTCCTATCAATCCGGCTTCCCTCACCAAAAACAATGGACCACCACCATATAGAAAAATAGTGAGAAAGTGGCGTTAAACATCAATTAATCAATCAATCTTATCAATAAATCAGAACATAACTAACATTATTTATAACATATCTTTTTTAATTCATCCTTGATGAAAGTATAAATGATTCAGAAACAAAGGTTTTATCTCTTGCAGGCAAATGTTTAGATTCCTTTTGGTGTACTCCAACATTATATGTCACCAATTATGTCAGATCACAAACAGGTGAGTGTTAAAGTGTATTGCAGTTACTTAATAAGGCTGGATGTATTATAAATCAATTGATTACCGGAAAAAGATGTCATCTTCTCGTGTTGCATTTACAGACCATGATATTAAATATTAGTTTTATGCTAAGATTAACGCAACATTGTTTCTGTCTTAACACAAAAAGTGTTATTAACCAATAGCCACTTATATTAGTGATAGATAAAACAAAGGTGTTAGACATTTGTCCACATGACATCAATCATAAACTGTTGCCACAGAGATATGTCTCGCCTTTTTTTGTAATTTGATAGTATACTGCAAATATTGAATCCAAAACATTCAAAGTCAATGCAACGAACCCTGGCTTATGGTGCAGGACCAAATACATGAAGCAACCCATTGGAAATGAGAAATGCTAATGCTTATAAAACTGCATACAAAATACTATTGACTTATCACAAGTGGTTCCCTTTACAATAACATAAACACAAACTTTAATTTGTAAACAATGTAAAAGTTTCAAAGTTAAAGAACCATGATGAGGCGGTGGGGCCATATAATCACCATGGAAAAGAGATGCTAATACAACTGCCTACCTAATATCATTGACTTAACATAAGCGGTTTCTCCTAAATTGATCTAATCATAAACTTGAGATATAAACTAAGCAAAACATTCAAATTCAATAGACCATGACTGAGGGGACGTAGCCAAATAATTTTTCATGGAAATAAGATGTACCAATGCTAATGCATCTACATACCAAATATCATTGCCCTACCACTAGTAGTTTCACTTAATCTGACTTAATCACAAGCTAATACATGTAAAGTAAGCAAACGTTTCAGAGATTATAGACCATGACTGAGGGAGCGGGATTAAATTTTCCATTGCTATGAGATATACCAATGCTGATACAACTGCATACCAAATATCATTGACCTACTACTACTGGTTTGCCATAAACTGAGCTAATCACTAACTTATACATTTTTAAAGCCCCCGCCGACACCGCCGTTGGAAACAGCATACATAAGTCGTGCTTCTTGACTCCGTCAAGGCGAGACAATAAAAACCTCAAACATGAGTAGTTGTACTTCAATTCAGATTCGGAAACGGGAGGCACCTGATCTTTTCAGTTTTTGCTAAAATTGGGAAAACGAATGTCATTTTCTGTAATAGGCACTCATATTTTTGCACAGAACAGATTATTTTTTTATATTGAACGCACTTCTGTCTTTGCAAAAGACAATAAAAAGACCATTGTCGAAAACGCTTCAACAGAATGCTGGACGTCTTCAGATAATATCGGAAAATGTATTCTAATTGTAAAACATGACTTTACATTGCGCTTTCATTTATTTATTGTAAATACTTACATCTCTGTAATTGTGTAACTAGTTTATGAGAATTTAATTTCATTCATTCATCCTCAATTTTTTTCAACTCTCTGATTCACAACATGTTTATACTGACTCAACTGAGACGTTTAGATTATTTACAGCAATTAAAGCGCAATCATATATTGTTATGTTTCTTTTATGCGTAGTGATTTTGTCTCATGAACTAATGCATCATATCCTTTATTTTGATTTACCTTTGCTATTTATAAATAAATTCACGAAGTCAGTTCGACAAGAAATGGAAATAAAGTATCCGCAAAAGAAGTTTGCTTACAGTAAATAATAAATTGTTAGTGGACTATTCTATTAAATGGAGAACTTTTCAATAAATGATTTCTTCGTAAAACAAAGAACTTTTAGTTGGTTTCACTGATGTTACTTATATACATAAGTTTCTGACATATTTGACGAATTCAGAATTAAACTATATATAGCATAGCTTTCAGTTCATTCAATATCATAAAGAAATGCATACTTCCTCTCGTTTGCAACTAGTAGCGAGTTACTTTTTCGTTCGATATGCAATGCACGTGGACTCGACAGGCCATCAATAGCCGTCAGAATAGTTCTATAACGTTTTCCATCGTTACTGATAAGGACAACGCTGTGCGATTTCACACAAGCCACATACAGGTTACCGTTACTGTCTATTGATATACCTTGTGGATATTTTAGATCTTGAATATCTTTTAACTTCCATTCTAAATTACCACGAATGTCGCAGCATGTTAGAGAGTTCTCGTCTTTATTTGTAAAATAAAGTCTGTCCCCATTCACTGCAATATACGAAAAAATTGGTAAACAATGACTAACAAGTGTCTTTTTGGAATCATTCTTTAATTGTATTTCTTGTATCCCTTTACCTTCTTCACAGAAAACAAGGGTATCGTTTCGTACTGCTATTCCATAAGGACAGGAGCTTACTCGAATAGATCTTTTCATCTTTCTACTGTTTAGGTCAATGATGTTTATCATGTTTATAGACATTTTACTGTAACCACTTGTCACAGCAATGATATTTTCTGCTTCAATATACGCAATATCACATGCGGATGTATCCATTGTGACTTCAAAAATGTACGTACCGTTGCTATTAAATGCAGTAACTTTTTTATGGTCCTGATAGCTAAACATCATCTTTCCATTTGGAATTATTGCACAACCTCTTATAATTCCACTAGCCATATTCATTTCTCTCTTGTTTCTGAGTTCTATAGTATCAATGCATTTGGATATTGCAATGGGTACGGTCATCTGAGCTTGTTGGCTTTTATTTCCTGTAATGACAACACTGCTGGGATTTGATTCAAAACCAACAGAACCAAGATATTTCCCAATATTCTGTATTTCTTTATCAGCCACTGAATAAAGGGTTTTTATCTCCATCTCCTCGCTTTTGAGAACAGACAGAATAAATTCTTCTTTGTCAGACACCTCTTTTCCAATGTGCTTCAATGCTAAAAATGCCTGAATGTCTGATGCATGTTGTTGTATGTTAGTAAAATTAACTTTTAAATCAGTAATCTGCCGTTCGTTCTTCTCAATTGTAGACAACAACTGGTTTATTTTTTTACTTTCATTTTCTTCAGTATTATATAGTTCCTCAATCAAATTGTCTTGTATTTCATCTAAATAGTCATTTAACATTTTACGGGTTTGCTTGATATCAAGTGCAATCTTATCTCTTTGTTCCTGAAGGCATTTTAAATTTTTTCTACGGTCATTTCGGAGTGTTTGTATGTTTTCCAACATTTCCGACAGCTGTGTTTGTATCTCAAGAAATGCATTTGATGATTTAATATTATGAACCATGTCGTCTATTGCTGTTAAATCTTTACACTCATTATGTGTCTCTATAACACATCTTCTACAGCATGGGCAATCATGTTTTTTACAGAAAGTTTGATATTGCTCTTTGTGTTTTTGGCATGTTTGTGTGATTTTTAGTACATTCAACGGTAGTTTCTGGTACTCAGTGACAGGGATAACGTTGTGGTTTCGAGATGATTTTACGGCACCATGATGTTCTTTACACTCGTCACAAAGTCCCTCGTCACATTCTGAACACCACACTACTGATGATTTTTGTATGTTCCGGAAGTCACAGACGCCACACACAGTCCAATTACTCGCCATACTACAAAATATGCATATCTTTAAATTTGCATATGCTTTAAATCTATGAGAACATGTGACCATGAGTGCACCAGGAACCAAGAAAACGTAAATAGGATATTCTTTTTCATTTGATTATCAATGCATTTCCAACTATTAACAAACACCCAACAGTAGAAAATATATTACAAGAATCGCTCACTAAATAACAAACTGTTTATAATATTCTAGCTCTGTTATGACTTTATATATGATAATGATATGTGGTATGATTGCCACTAAGACAACTACCAAAATAACGTGGATTTGAGTAATTATAAGTCACCTTACGGCATTCAACATTGCACAAAAAACCATACCGTATAGTCAGCTATAAAACGCACATTACAAAATGTAAAAGAAAAATTAAACATAAACCAAAGGCCTGACAATGAACGATAAACAAATATAACAAACAGCATCCAACTTCAACCACTGAATTACAGGCTCCTGATTTGTAACAGGTACATACATGTGGCTGAGTTAAACATGTTTGTGAGCGCTCAACCCTTCTCTAATGGGGACAATGGTGTAAAAGTACACTATAAAGAAAGACCGTAAACAAATCAGTTAAAAATGAGTTGAAGCACGAAAACTTACTAACGTAAAGACAAATGACATACAGAACCGATCATAGAGTACTCGTGGTTAATTCCAATAACAACTAATACTGTATCTTGGCATTGCACAAGGTCATGTTTTTTCTCTGACTGTTAATCTTATCTTTACACTAAATTCATTGGATGTTGGATGTGTACTGATCTATATTTTAGTCTTAGATGCGTGTACTGATCTATATTTTAGTCTCAGATGCGTGTACTGATCTATATTTTAGTCTTAGATGCATATTTTTTTATTAGTTGATATTGGCTTAGAATTAGCTGTCAGTAACTGCGTGTACTCTCAGATCTGTACTTAGTGTCTTTTTTGTTGTGGTTATGTATAAATACCATGCTCCGTCAGGTCTGTGTTTTTGTTAGATGGTTTTCTGCTTTATACCGATCTGATGAGTTTAGCCCTTTTCAACTGTTTTTATTTGATAGATTTATTAGGTTGTACTCTTTCACCACTTTCCAAAGATAGGAGGAGGGTTTGGCGCCAATAAACCCTTTGCCTTTCCCAAGTCAGGAGCCTTTAATTCAGTAGTTGTTGTTTGTTGTTGTTTATCATATTTGTTTTTCGTTCATTGTTTTGTACATACATCAGGTCGTTAGTTTTCTCGTTTGAATTGTTTCACATTTGTGTTTTCGGGGCCTTTTATACATGACTATGCGGTATGGGTTTTGCTCATTGTTGAAGGCCACCCGGTGACTTACAGTTGTTAACTTCTATGTCATTTTTGTCTTTGGTGGAGAGTTGTCTCACTGACAATCATAGTACATCTCCTTATTGTTATGATAAATGAATCATTTTCACAATTCTCACAAACTAAAGTATCATCAGTACACATTCAACGAATTTATTGAAGACGTCATAAACAGTTTGGGAAAAAAGTCCGTGTCCTATGCCAATGTAGAGGTACATAACAATGACAGGACCATAATTTTTCAGAAATGAAAAAAATGCATATTTAGTAATGTTGAAATTGATCAAAAACCATACTTAAAAGATCTTAGAACGGTGTTTAAATGCTAATCTTTAAGAATAAGTTTATTCAAATGATCTCTAATTTTGCATGGATCGTATTTAAATTAACGTGCTTTATAAACAATATTATCGTAAATAGTAGAGCGTGATATCATGATTTTTCTTCATAATTGCTTTTGCCTTTAAACTGTTTTGATTCGAGCGTCATTTATGAGTAACGTGAAGACGACACGCATGTCTGGCGTAAAATATTGTTCGTGTGGTACTCTAATGAGTTTTAACAACCACTGGGTCAATCCACTGCTGGTGGACGTTTAGTCCCCGTGGGTAAAACCAGTAGTCACCATTTCTATATTGACATAAAATATAATTGATCGGAATTGTTTTACAAATTTACTGCCAACAAAACTTTAAATTCCTTTTAAATATTAGGCATTTTTTAACCCAGGCGTATATTACCTATGCCGTATTTGGCCAAACGTTTGGAATTTTCGGTCGTCAATGCTCTTCAACTTCATACTTGATTTTGCCTTAAAACTTCAAGCGTCACTTAATTGTGTGTCTAAGAGGAAACGCGCACCTGGTGTACAAAATTAGTACCCTGCTTTCTTTAATGAGTTTTTATAAGAATTCTACTTAAAAACTTAAAAACCAAATCTTTGTATCTATGAAAGAACTTAGTAAACCCTTTAAGTGACCTATTATTACATGTCTAAAGCTGAACATATGGAACTTTGTGGGACATGTCAAACAAATATGTCTTAAAAATCTGTTTTAACCCTTTCATGAAATATTTGTTACTGGTACCTTAACATGCATAATTAAGTAGAATTATATAAAAAATATTAAAACAAAACTTTGGAAATTTCATGCGTCGGAAGTGCTTATCTGGATTTACCTTAATTTGGAACGATCAAAGCCGAATATTTGAAAACCGATGATGTATAAGAACCGAAACAGTTGGAGAGCTATATGACCAATAGGAAAACTAACAAAAATCCATAAATTCATTCCAGATCACAACGCACTGATTAGACAAGCAGTTCAGACCAGCAGGAACGGCCCAGTATATATAACAACGTTTGAAACTGAGTGGACTGCGGTCCACATGTTTATCTGGAATATTGCCAAAATCTTGCGCTATTATCTGTTGACAGGTAGCTAGGAACACTTAAGTTGAATGTTCTTGTCCTTCCATATTCATTATTCTCTCATATGTATTAAAATAAAATAGTTGCGATTAAATGAATTATTCTATGTTCACTTTTGAATATACAAATACACCGTATGTGTAACCGACGATGCGGCTATTAATGTTTGTCTTAAAAATACATATCAACCAAAGGCAATTATTGTAGGGACTTTCATAATGAAATATATATCTAATCATAGAAAATCAATAGATAGTGTATAAACTAGTAGTCATAACAACTTCTGTACACACACACACATGTTAACATGGTTAAGACTGATGTTGTGTATGTAAGGTTCACTACATGTCAAACAATCAATACAAAAGGGTTTTATTTTAGGAGTAACAAAATGACATTCAAAGTTTTACAGTTGAATGAATTAAACAGATTTTCTTGTAGGATATAATACCTTTATAATCGGCAATCAGTCGTCCATAGTCCTTCAAAAGATAACCGTCGTTATAAGAACAAAAGAAGGAATGTAAACACGGTCACATGATAACTACTTCCTGAACATGATAAGTTATAAAAGCGCGGGTATTTCAAAGAACTAGTTTAATATCAAAGCATATTTAAGATCATATAGTTGTTACATCAGAAAGATGCAAAATAAGACAACAAAAGATAATTATATTCCTCTAATTATATTTCTACCAAAGTTATAATCTTCCCGATTGGTTGATTATCTTTAAGTTATTTAATCAACGTATGGTTCGTTTCATCCAATGCCGAATGACGTAAGGGAGCTACAATTTGATTTTTATGAAGGGGGGGTGGGGGGGGGGGGGGGGGCTAGGATGAAATTTGAAAACAATAGGCAGGACAGGAGTTTTGAGTAAAAAAAAAGGCAGGTTGAGACACTTTGCTAAAAAATAAGGCAGGATGACAATTTATGTAAAAAAAAGTCAGGATAAACTAAAAAAAAAGAAGGCAGGACCAAATAGAGTGAAAAATAAAAATGCAGGACAGGGATTAAAAACAAAAGAAAATGCAGGACAACATTATCATCCTAGCACCCCCCCCCCCCCCCTACCCCCCCTCCCCCATCCCCCCCCATCCCCCCCCCCCCCCATAAAAATCAAATGGCAGCTCCCGAACAAACAAAGAACATATTAATTTTAAAAATCATTGAAAAAGAAAGGTAAGGACTTATCCAGGTATATGAAAGATATATTGAAATTTGCGATTCTTTCAAATACACTATACATTGTGAATAGTTGTTAAAGGTACAAATCTTGTATAAATCAAATAGGAAATGGAAAAGGGTATTAAAATTCATGGCTTATTGTGTATTGAGAATGCTGTATATAGTGTATGGTATGGTTGTATGGTTATTGGTGTAATAATGTACGGATTAAGTGTGAAGTTTACACAATTCAAGGGCTAAAATAGTTATCAAAGGTACAAGGCTTATAATTTAATACGCCAGACGCGCGTTTCTTCTACATAAGACTCATCAGTGACGCTCAGATCAAAATAATTATAAAGCCAAACAAGTACAAAATTGAAGAGCATTGAGGACCCAAAATTCCAAAAGGTTGTGCCAAATACGGCTAAGTTAATCTATGCCTGGGATAAGAAAATCCTTAGTATTTCGAAAAATTCATACTTTTGTAAACAGGAAATTTATAAAAATGACCATATAATTGTTATTCATGTCAACACCGAAGTGATGAAGAGGTACTAATTTAGTATATTCGGGAATCCTGATAGGACTGATTATCATGTACAAATAATGATACCACTTCAATGTCCCAAATGTTCTATTTCATAAAAATAACTGACAACTTTCTTATACAAGAGAGGCGAAAGACACCAAAGGGAAATTGAAAATCATAAGTCGAAAAAAAAATGACAACGCTATGGCAAAAAAAAAAGACCAAAAGACAAACTGCAGTATACAAAACGCATCATAGAAAACTTAAGACAGAGCAACAAGAACCCCTCCAAAAACCGTAGGGGTGATCGCAGGTGCTCATGAAAGGTAAGCAGATCCTACTCCACAAGTGGCATGCGTCGTGTTGATCATGTAAGTACAAACCCTGTGATAAGTCTTATTCGGTAGGTCACATTCAACCTTCTTCTCTTAACTGTCTTTTTCTTTATGATATACAAGTTTAATAAAAAAAGCAAGGTATGACAAGGATCTGATTCTATCCTTTTTTTCATTTGTCTCAAATAGATATAATATATGTTAATTTCATTGCAAACCAAGTAAGTATAATTTTAGACAAAAATCGAACTAAATTGTGCATGACGTCACTGTCATGCCGTGAAGAATACAAGAATTTCAATAGTTTATAAAAATGGCTGACCGCTTTCAACATTGTTAATGGAGGCAAGTATTTTATTTGTACCGTTCAACTATTTTTAAAGAATATCCCAAATGCAGGTTATGTTAACATGAAGGTACTTTATCGTTTCAGTTACCTACGCCATAATGCATGCAGTGTTCCTACAGCAAGTTAACATAATCTGTCTTTAGACAATCCTCATCAAATTTTATTCTCATCATTCCATGCAATTTGAACCAATACCGGGATTTATTATTGAGAAAACATTCCAATCATTAAAAACATTTATTTTAGATTTTGTTTTAAAAGATCACATGCTTGCTCTCAACCATTTTACACTAAATCCATTGGATTTTGGATGTGTACTGATTGATATTTTTGTTTTAGATCCATAATCTCTTTATTAGAAAAAAGTAAAATTATAACAAAATACCGAACTCCAAGGTAAATTCAAATCGAAAAGTCCCTTATCAAATGGCCAATCAAAAGCTCAAATACTTCAAACGAATGGAAAACAACTGTCATATTCTTGACTTGGTACAGGTATTTACCTTCTGTAGAAAATGGTGGATTAAACCTGGTTTTATAGCTAGCTAAACCTCTCACTTGAATGACAGTCGCATAAAATTTCAATTATATTGACAACAATGTGAACAAAACAAACAGACATAATAAGTAAAAAAAGTCAAAAATAGGGGAACAGCAGTCAACATTGTTTTATAATATAAATCACTATAAAAACAAACAAATATGACAACAAAGAAAAACAAAATGGCATAAAGACAAAGCACATAAGCAAATATAAAAGACAAGAATTCAAAAAATTACCACAGCATAACAAAACATTGGCGGGATGCATAAGTACCCAGCCACGCCAAATGGATATTACCAAAAATGGACTAAACAGTAAAGGTTAATAATTTACAAAGACAAATAAAAGAACACTATAACACGTAATAAAGATGATAAACAACGTCAGAACCTAGAATCTATACTTCAAGACCATCATGTATTATTTGTGAAGTTGATAGGGAATATTTATCAACAAGGTCTTGATATCTTCCGATGAACCTTTTTTTAGAAAATGGACGAGACGTTCTTTGATTTAACCCTGGTTCTTCAACTTTCTGCTGGGGCCTCGGTGGCCGAGTGGTTTAAGTAGTAACTACTGTAATCACTAGCCAGTCAACACTGAGGTTGTGAGTTCGAACCCCGCTCGTGCGAGTGCACTCGACTCCAATCTTAATTGACTAGGATTGACAGTTTTCCTATCGAAGGTCGGTGGTTTTCTCCGGGCACTCCGGCTTCCTCCACCAATAAAAACTGGCCGCCATGAAATAGCCCAAAAGCGGTGCTTAAAAGTGGCGTTAAAACACCAAAAATCAAATCAAATCAACTTTCTGCTCAGTCACTGGTGACATTTTATAAAGTCTGGTTAGCAACTGCAAACTCTTGAATACCGAATGAGTTGGGAAATGTATATCCCATATACAGGTGAAGTTGGTATATTGCTACTAAGGTGGGGAAAATTGATAATTTCAAAATTAAAATCGTCTCGTTTGTCATTGATTCTGGTACTAAGATGACCGCTTATGTCAAATTCGAGGTATAAGTCTAAAACTGAAGCGGAGGAAGCCGTGTCTGTTGTTTCTTTAATTTCTAGTTCTGGAAGATATATTCGTGGAACACAATAAGAAAAGTTTGGATTGGTAATGGAAAGAACATCATCAATATATCTGAATGTGAAATTTAACAATCTGGCTTCTTTGATCTTCTTGTTTTACACATCGGTACAACGGATACACAGGGTTTGTACCTTTATATATACATGATAGACAATCGTATAGTATAAGTTGGTAGCCACGAGGTTAAGATCAATGAGTTATAGAGTCAAGTTAGAAGTAGAGACTTTTCGGTTTAGGTTCGAATCCCTGTTTTCTCTTTGTTGTCCCTATTTTTTTTTTTTTTTTCGTTTTTCTAATTTTGAGTGTTTTTGTGAATATTTTTGTAATAATAGCGGGATTATTATTGGCTATTTCACGTATTTGAAAAAAAATCATTACATTCAATTTTTCCATTTTTGTTTTATAAATATAGTATGGAATGATTTTATCTGTTTTACTACATATATTTACAAATGTTTATTCGCAAACCGCTATACGAGTAAATCGTGATGTGCCTAGAATTATGGTTTTTGTCAGAAAATTCGGTAATATACTTATTATACTTAGGATATACTTAGAAATAAGTTCGAATATGTCTTATTTTGTCAATTACGGATAAAAGTTAGATGCATGATAATTCAAAGACAGACGTGTTATGCTATATTTGTATTTTAACTAATTCAAGGTGAACTTTGATTCATTAATGCATCGTTCAGCACGATAGCATGGTTATTTAAACTCACTTACAATACCTTCTGATTAAGAAAAGGCTTTAATTTTGAAAGGAAACCAACACAATAGTTTAAGTAAGAGATACAATGGATAAGCGTTGATTCATGAAAAACAATTAATTCCCTCTCTGGCCATGGGCTCATGGTTTATTTTTCAAGAATCAACGCTTATCCATTGTATCTGTAATACAGAATGTGTTTACTTACAGCAGGTATTATATAATAGGTAACAGAAAATATGGTTAATTTTTTTTCGATCAGTCTTATTACTTGTTTTCTAAATCTTGATTTTCATTTCAAAGTTTATAGAAACATGTTTTTTTTATATCAGATTTGAACATTTGTGCATTCGCCTTTTTTTATTATATAAGCAATTTCACATTTTAAAAAGTTATGCTGTCTTAACAGGGTCTATTGTGTTCGAAATATAAAATTGAAAATTCTACATGTGCTTCCCAATGAGTCAAACTGCGCTGTTGTAAGCGATGATAATTCAACAATGAAGAAAACCTCTTCCTTATAATTATAGCTATACAATATCCGAAATGACTGTTTTTTTATTTATTTTATAGTATCTGTCTTAAAAATTATTTTTCAACAGATCTTTTACCATGTCGGAAGACCAATTTGCATTTGGTAACAGCTTGACTTATCTGTCGGATTTACAGAAGTATATCCTACTTTTCCTTTCGTGTATATGTATTGCGAAAGGCTGTGTTTCAGAAAAAGAAAACAGTACATTTTGTGAATAATATGAATACGAAAATAAAGGGTCGACGTTCCTTTTTAGATTGTGAATGATAGAAAATCCTGT